TAGAGGAAAACCTGACAAAATTGAAAGGGAAAGCGGTTCAGCAGTAATAGATGGAGACTTTCATACTCTCCTCGTGTAGAGGGGCTGAGCACACTGCAGACCTACGAGGTCTGACTCTGCAGAACTCTGCCAACTGCAGCAGAATATCTAGGACAGAAACCAAGCTTCAGTGAATTTAAAGGCACTGAGCTGTATCAACATATATGCTCTTTAACCACAGTGGAATGAAACTAGGTATCAGGAACAGAGATTTGAGGAGTTCACAGGTCTGTAGCGGTTAAGCAGCGCATGGCGAGATGACCAGTGGTTCGAAAGGAGATTAGAGAAGTACTTTGAGATGATTGAAAATGAAAACACAGCAAACCAAAACTTAAGGGTGCAGTTAAAGAAAGGAGTATTCAAGAAGAAATTTATAAAAAGTCATAAATCAGTAACTTAGCTTTAACCTTAAATCTAGAAAAAGAAGAGCAAAGTGAACCCAAAGCAAGTAGACGGAAGGAAATCATAAAAGACCAAAGAAGAAACAAATGAAATAGGGAATAGAAAGAAAAGGAGAAAAACCAGCAAAAGCAGAAGTCAGTTCTTTGGGAAGATCAGAATTGGCAAACCTTTTCTACAATAACCAATTTAAAAAGGGAGAGTTACTAAAGTTAAAATTAGGAAGGAGGGGATGTTACTGTTGAGTACATCGCTGTGGAGCACAGAGGAATACTATGAGCAATTGTATGCCGACAAATGAAATAACCTAGATGAAATGGATATATTAGATTGCTAGAGAGATACAACCTATCAGAGGTAATCAAGAAGAAATAGAAAACCTGAATATTCAGACCTATAACAATAAGTTATAATTGTAAGTTAGTAATTAAAAGAAAAACTTCCCACAAAGGGAAGTCCAGGCTGAGATGGGTTCATGGTGCATTCTACCAATACTTAATGAATTAACACCCATCCTTCAAAAACTTTTTCAAAAAAATAGATGAGGGAACATTTCCTAACTCATTCTATAAGGAAGTGTTACCCTGATACCACTACCAGGCAAAATATATCACCAGAAAACAGCAGACCAAGGTGCATAGGTAATATGGGCTTTAAAATCCTCAACAAAATACTAGTAACCTGAATTCAGCATGTTAAAAGGATAATATAGCATGACCAAGTGCAGTTTATCCCAAGAATGCAAACCCTTTCCAACATTTGAAAAGCAATCAGTGAATATATCACACTAATAGAATAAAGGATGAAGACCACAGATGATCTCAAAGATTCTTAGAAAGAGTTTGTTAAAATCTTACACTGTTTTATGATTAAAAGCAACTCAAGTAGTTACAGTTGAGTACTGATAAGGATGGCTATGAAAAGCCCACTAACATCATAGTTAAAGACTGAACACTTTTCCCTGAGGTGGGCCATGTGAGAATGTCCACTCCCACTGCTTTCATGGTTCTTAGTGGGGTCAGTTAGATAAGGAAAAGAAATATAAAGCATCCAGATTGGAAAGGAAGAAGTAAGGAAAGCTGTATTAGCAGACGGTAAGCAATAAAAAGAAAAGCCTATTAGAACTATCAAATGAGTTCAACAAAAAGTTGTAGAACATAAGATCATATTGTGTTTATATGTATAAAAGTCAGTTGGATTTCTGTGTGCTAACAGTGAACTATGGGCTTCCCTCATAGCTCAGTTGGTAAATCACCTGCCTGCAATGCAGGAGACCCGGGTTCAGTCCCTGGGTTGGGAAGATCCCCTGAAGAAGGAAATGGCAACCCACTCTAATATTCTTGCCTGAAGAATCCCATGGACAGAGGAGCCTGGTGGGCTACAGTCCACAGAATTGCAAGAGTCCAACACCACTTAGCTGCTCAACCACCACCACCAACAACGAGCAATCCAAAGATGAACTAAAGAAAGCAATTCTATATACTAGAGCATCAGAAACAATAAAATAATGAAGAATAAACTTAACAGAAAAGTACAAGACTTGAATACTGAAAGCTACAAACATCACTGAAAGAAATGATATTTTAAAATATTTGTAGAAGACCTAAGTAGAAACACATCCCATGTTCATTCAGTGGAAAACTTTTGCTGTTTGTTAATATAGCTGACATCCCCAAATTGATCCTCACATTTTCTCTATGAAATTTCCAGCTGCCCTTTTCTACAGAAATTGACATTCTGATCCTAAAATTCATAAAGAAATGCAAAGGACTTAAATACTCAAGACAGTCTTAAGGAAAGAACTGAGTTGGAGAAATCACACTTCCAGATTTGCCACAAAGCTACAGCAGTCAAGACACTGTGTTACTGGCATAGGGATAAATGTATTAATCAGTGGGATAGAACTGACATGCAGAGATACGTTTATGGTCACTGCTTTCTGACACAGGTGCGGGACAGCTGAGTGTGGGAAAGAATAGCCTGAACAGGTAGTGTAGAGGTTACTGGGCAATTGCATGCAAAAGAATGCATTTGCAGAGAATTTTTCAAAATGGATCATAGACCTGAATGTAACAGCTAAACTGTAAAACTTGTAGAAGAAAACATAGGCATGTAATTCTTCATGACCTTGGATTTAGGCAGCTCAGATGGTAAAGAATCCACCTGCAATGTAGGAGACCCTGGTTTGATTCCTGGGTCGGGAAGATCTGCTGGAGAAGGGATAGGCTACTCACTCCAGTATTCTTGGGCTTCCCTGCTGGCTCAGCTGGTAGAATCCGCCTGAAATGAGGAAGACCTGGGTTTGATCCCTAACTTAGGAAGATCCCCTGGAGCCAGGTAAGGCTACCCACTCCAGTATTCTGGCCTGGAGAATTCCATGGACTACATAGTCCACGGGGTCACTAAGAGTCAGACATGACTGAGCAACTTTCACTTCTGAAATATGCCACCAGAAAACACAGTGACAAAAAATAGATGTGATTTCACCAAAATTAAACATTTGTGCTTCAAGGGACACTGTCAAGAAAGTGAAAGGACAGTCCACAGAATGAGATAAATATTTTTAAATCGTATGTTTAGATACTCTGAATATATAAAGAACTCTTTTAACTCAACAATAAAAAAACAAATAATTAAAAAGCAGAGGATTCAGATAGAGTTGGCCCTTCATACCTGTGGGTTCTGCAGATTCAGTCAACAATGGATAGAATATTTTCTGTTGATATGGAACCCTTGGATATAGAGGGCCTAGAGGGACTAGTGCATTCAGTGATTTTGGAATCTGCTGGGGGTCCTGGTACCAGTCCCCCAAGAATATGAAGGGGTAACCAGTAGGTATACAAAAAAGATACTCTGCATCTTTAGGGAAATACAGATCAAAACCACAGTGAGATACCACTTCACACCCACTAGAATGACTATAATCAGAAAGACGAGAACAAGTGCTGGAGACAATGTGGAGAAATTAGCACCTTTGTACTTTGCTGGTATGAGTGTAGAATGATGCAGCAAGTTTGGAAAAAGATTTGGCAGTTTCTCAAATGCTAATCATAGAGTTACCTATTACTCTGCAGTTTTATTCCTAGATATAAACTTAAGAGAGTTGAAAACATTTGTTCACATGAAAATCTATAAATGAGTGTTCATAGTAGCATTATTCATAATACCCAAAAAGTGGAAACCATAATGTCTATCAGTTATTGAATGGATAAGCAAATACAGTATATCCATATAGTGGAATATTATTTAGCTGTAGAAGGGATAAAATGCCAGGGCATGCTACAAAAGTCATAGAGTTGTACACTTTAAAATGTTGTATTTTATGGCACATGAATTGTATTTCAGCAAAGCTGCTATTAAGAAGAAGTGAATTGGAGAGGCATGACTAATATATAAAATATTCCATATTTACTTATAAATCAAATGTGAATATATTGTATTATGAATAGAAAAGTCTTTGGAAGTCTATATAATAATGTCTGTAGTGTTCCTCTGTGGGTTTCCCAGGTACCTCAGTGGTGAATCCGCTTAACATGCAGGAGACAAGCGTTTTGATCCGTGGGTCTGGAAGATCCCCTGGAGAAGGAAACGGCAACCCACTCCAGTATTCTTGTCTTGGAAATCCCCTGGGCAGAGCAGCCTGGGGGGCTGCAGTCCACAGGGTTTCAGAGGCTCAGACGCAACTTAGCAAAATAAAAGTGTTCCTCTCTGGGTGGTAGAGTTGTTTTTACTTTTTTTTTAATAGTTTTTGTATATTTAAGATGTATTAACTTGTATAATAAAGTTATAGAAGATAGCGGTGAATAAATTTGGTGCTTTGGGGCTTGTGACCTTTAAGGAGTGGTCCCTTAGGAGGCTGAGTATGTGACCCTGTGGAGGGTGATGAAGGAGGAGCTTTGCAGTGAGGGAGGCAGGCACCGCTCGTCATATTTAGGAAGTTCAGCGGTAAATTTAAAGGAGGAGGATAGACAGAATCAGAGGTCAGTGTGTGTGTGGGAGAGACTGAATATTACAGTGATACTGTGCGTTAATGAATGTTTCACAATTCATATGTTAATTGAGCTACACCACGTCCTAGTCAGAAGCGTTGGGCGGTAAGTGGGTAAACTGAGACGCAGTGCAGGTTAAACGGCTTGACTCAAGTCATACTGCTGGTCAGTCAGGAGAGCTTGGCCCTCAGACTCCAGAGCCAGTGCCGCCCTGCTGTGGCGGGCTGCACCTGCGGGGTCATAGAGTAACGCAGGGGCAAGAGGAGGGATTCGGGAATTGCAGAAAGGAGGCAAGCTGGTCAGGGCCACGTGTGGGCGTTCCAGCTGGAAAGGAGGATGGGCAGTCTTTCAGTGATCAGAGAGAAGCGTGTGAAGATGGCCACTGAAAAACAGCAGAAGGAAAGGTGGTTTGTACCAGTGCTTCTGAGGGGAATTATTTCTGTTACACGATCGAGCAGTGAAACGGACCTCTGAGAATCATTTTTTATTTGTTAATAGTCATGTGGCTGTTTAAGGTCAGCAATAATAATACTCTGTGGCTTTTCGGAAACAGTTCTGCTTTTCTCTGTGCAGGTCTATCCTCACGTATAGCCGAATCGGGGGCCGTGTCAAGACACTCACATTCTGCCAGGGTTCCCACTACTTAGCCATAGCGTCTGATAATGGTGCCGTCCAGCTTCTTGCGATTGAGGCCTCTAAGCTGCCCAAGTCTCCCAAGATTCATCCTCTGCAAAGCAGGTATCTGTCTGTCATTTGTGTTTTTTAAACTGCATTTGGTGTCCTGGGATAATGTAACCCTCCTTCTGTAATACAGTTTGGATCAGCTGAGGGCCTGTGACAATGAACTTCTTTTTTTAAGCGCATGAAATGAATAAAATTAGGTTTCCAACTCAAATCTATTACATAGTTTGAGGAAACTATTTCTGTGAATTTGTCCAAAGGTTAGAAGGGCAGCTTTGAACTTGTGGCCCATCCCAGTCTGGAATCTGAATAACCTAATTATCAGTTACATCTTCTGTCTCAGCTCTGGCTGCTGGTTTTGAAAATGTGAGTGTTCTTCATTAAAGAAAACTCAGAAGTGTGGTCAGCATTTTGTCACTTGGCAGCAAAGCCTCTGAAGTTGCTGGGAATGGAGCAGAGCCTTCAGTCAGATGGTTTGCTTATCATTTTAAAAACAAGATCCTGACTGGCTTTATCTAAGAATTTCCTCCACTTTTTACAGATTGCGGTTGCTTGTAGATTAAACCCATGCAAGGTAAGATATTTAAAGGTCAAACAGCAGTTTTTCAGCTGACTAGTATGTGCTGCACACAGAAAATTCAAGAAATGAGTAAGATGTGTTTGTTATACTCTCTAAGAAACGAGCCTAGTGGGAGAGGCAGGCCAGAGAACTGATGACTTCAGTGCAGCATGCCAGCATGCCCTGTGACCAGGACGGGGGCCAGCTTCTGGCTGGATTGGGGAGACGGCCTGGAGGGGTGACATCCGGTGTGGCCACAGCAGGGTGGTGGTGAGGGGCGGGGCAGGCCCAGCGGGGACCCTCAGGGAGGAAGCAGAGCCAGCAGCGCCTCCACAGTTTCAGTGGATCACAGCTCACCACCATTGGGCAGCTGAGGAAGAACCGGGTGACGATTGGGTCACCTGGGACTTTATTATTTGTTTGTGTTGTTTTGCTTTTACCAATTAAGATATGTTATTATTTTTTTTTTTTAACACATTCACTAAAGAGACTTGGGCAGCTTCTGTCCAGGACCCATCATGATCACCTTGAACTAAGAAGTCCTTTCGGCAGACAGTGGCTACAGAGCAGCCTTCACACGGCGTTCTGTGTCAATCACCAGAGGGCTCTTGGCGGAGTGCGTGGCGTGGGGACCTGGCAGCAGAGTGTAGGTTTCGTGCAGGAGAGCCTCTGCGCTGACAGCACTTTTCATTGCGAATGCGAGTTTTTACTGTCTATACCCTGAGCAACACTTACAGCTTCCCTCATAGCTCAGTCGGTAAAGAACCTGCCTGCGATGCAGGAGACCCCAGTTTGATTCCCGGGTCGGGAAGATCTGCTGGAGAAGGGATCGCCTCCCCACTCCAGTATTCTTGGGCCTCACTTGTGGCTCAGCTGGCAAAGAATCCACATACAGTGCGGGAGACTTGGATTCAGACCCTGGGTTGGGAAGATCCCCTGGAGAAGGAAAGGCTGCCCACTCCAGTATTCTGGCCTGGAGAATCACATGGTCAGTCCATGGGGTCGCAAAGAGTCGGACACGACTGAGCAACTTTCACTGAGCAACACCGACTCTGGATTGGCAGGTTGCTCCAGGAGGCTTAGCTTTGCCTGATGGCAGGTGCTCCCAGGAAATCCTGCACGGGCCCCGCATTCAGTCCGCTCATGTTACCTTGGCTCTGTGGATCCTTTTCACTGCTTATTTGGCATTTGGACTTTTCATCATCACTTTATGGAATATTGTCAGTGTTAGAATGTTTATAAATACAATTGTTTGCCTAAGACAGGAATTAGCAAGCTATAGCCAGCAGTATGGCCCATAAATTAAGAATGATTTTGCATTTTCAAAGGGTTGTTTTAAAAAAAAGAATATGCAGTAGAGATGTATGTGACTTGTAAATCCTAACATACTTACTACCTGGCTCTTACAGACAGTGTTTGCTGACAGTTGATAAAGCTAAAATAGTAGTGTGTACAGAGGCCTGATACGCAGTGATCAAGAAAGCTGGCCAATGTGTTTATGGTGTTATTTTTAGCTTAAAAACACCTCAGCTTGAAAAAAAAAAACAACAAACAGGTACATCAAGGAATGGAATAGTACTTAAAAAGGAATCACTAATTTTATTTACTTCACTTTATTATCAGTAATAAAAGGGAATGAATGATTGATTCATGCAGTAACAGCAATGAATCTTAAATCCTTCTTTCTAATAAAAGAAGTCAGCATGAGGGGAAGGTGAGTGAAGGATACGTGGAAGTCTGTGCACTACTTTTGCAGCTCTTCTGCAGTTCTGAAGTAATTTTTAAAAAAATGCTCAGCTATCCTTGTCTTAGATGGGGCACAGAGTTTTTATTTCTTGACCATAGTTAGAAGGTAGATTGATCTGCAGTGGAGGCAGGTACTGTATGTTTAGTTATGGATGTATATTGATCCGCAGTGGAGGCGGGTGCCGTGTGTTTAGTGATGGATGTATATTGATCCGCGGTGGAGGCAGGTGCTGTGTGTTTAGTGATAGATGTAGATTGATCCATGGTGGAGGAGGGTGCTGTGTGTTTAGTAATGGATGTAGGTCAATCCGCAGTGGAGGCAGGTGCTGTGTGTTTAGTGGTGGATGTAGAATGATCTGTAGTGGAGGAGGGTGCTGTGTGTTTAGTAATGGATGTATATTGATCTGCAGTGGAGGTGGGTGCTGTGTGTTTAGTGGTGGATGTAGAATGATCCACAGTGGAGGCAGGTGCTGTGTGTTTAGTGGTGGATGTAGAATGATCCGTGGTGGAGGAGGGTGCTGTGTGTTTAGTAATGGATGTATATTGATCTGCAGTGGAGGTGGGTGCTGTGTGTTTAGTGGTGGATGTAGAATGATCCACAGTGGAGGCAGGTGCTGTGTGTTTAGTGGTGGATGAAGAATGATCCACAGTGGAGGCGGGTGCTGTGTGTTTAGTGGTGGATATAGAATGATCCACAGTGGAGGCGGGTGCTGTGTGTTTAGTGATGGATGTAGAATGATCCACACTGGAGGCAGGTGCTGTGTGTTTAGTGGTGGATGTAGACTGATCCATAGTGGAGGTGGGTGCTGTGTGTTTAGTGATGGATGTAGATTGATCTGTGTGGAGGCAGGTGCTATGTGTTTAGTGATGGATGTAGATCAGTCTGCAGTGGAGACGAGTGCTGTGTGTTTAGTGATGGATGTAGATTGATCTGCAGAGGAGGTGGGTGGTGTGTGTTTAGTGATGGATGTAGATTGATCCGTGGTGGAGGCGGGTGCTGTGTGTTTAGTGATGGATGTAGATTGATCTGCAGTGGAGGTGGGTGCTGTGTGTTTAGTGATGGATGTAGATTGATCTGGGGTGGAGGCGGGTGCTGTGTGTTTAGTGATGGATGTAGATTGATCTGTGTAGAGGCAGGTGCTGTGTTTAGTGATGGATGTAGATCAGTCTGCAGTGGAGACGAGTGCTGTGTGTTTAGTGATGGATGTAGATTGATCTGCAGAGGAGGTGGGTGGTGTGTGTTTAGTGATGGATGTAGATTGATCCACAGTGGAGGCAAGTGCTGTGTGTTTAGTGATGAATATAGATCGATCCGTGGTGGAGGTGGGTGCTTTGTGTTTGGTGATGGATGTAGATTGATCTGCGGTGGAGGCGGGTGCTGTGTGTTTAGTGATGGATGTAGAATGATCCACACTGGAGGCAGGTGCTGTGTGTTTAGTGGTGGATGTAGAATGATTCATAGTGGAGGTGGGTGCTGTGTGTTTAGTGATGGATGTAGATTGATCTGTGTGGAGACAGGTGCTGTGTTTAGTGATGGATGTAGATCAGTCTGCAGTGGAGACGAGTGCTGTGTGTTTAGTGATGGATGTAGATTGATCTGTGGTGGAGGCGGGTGCTGTGTGTTTAGTGATGGATGTAGATTGGTCTGCAGTGGAGGCGAGTGCTGTGTGTTTAGTGATGGATGTAGATCGATCTGCGGTGGAGGTGGGTGGTGTGTGTTTAGTGATGGATGTAGACTGATCCACAGTGGAGGCAAGTGCTGTGTGTTTAGTGATGAATGTAGATCGATCCGTGGTGGAGGTGGGTGCTTTGTGTTTGGTGATGGATGTAGATTGATCTGCGGTGGAGGCGGGTGCTGTGTGTTTAGTGATGGATGTAGATTGATCTGCGGTGGAGGTGGCTGCTTTGTGTTTGGTGATGGATGTAGATTGATCTGCGGTGGAGGCGGGTGCTATGTGTTTGGTGATGGATATAGATTAATCTGCAGTGGGGGCGGGTGCTGTGTCTTAGTGATGGACGAGTCTTTGCCCCTTGGTGTGTGTCTTCTAGGGTCCTAGACCAGAAGGAGGACGGCTGCGTGGTGGACCTGCATCACTTCAGCTCCGGGGCGCAGTCTGTGCTGGCCTACGCCACTGTGAACGGCGCTCTGGTGGGCTGGGACCTACGCTCCTCCAGCAACGCCTGGACGCTGAGGCACGATCTCAAGGCAGGCCTCATCACTTCCTTTGCCGTGGACATCCACCAGTGCTGGCTCTGCATTGGTAGGGAGCTGCCTTTCAGGTCCTTGACTGGGTCTGCATGCTGCTGTCAGGCGTGCCTCTTAAGAAAGCTCTTTTCCTTTTCTTCATTGGTAATTTTCCCCCTTGTCCTTTTTTTTTACCCCCCATAATTATTATAATACTTGCATTTCAATTTTTTCATTAAAAACAAATTTAAAAGAGTGAGGTCAATATCCAGTGTGTATAACAATTTACTCTCTCCGTTTTTAAACGAGGCTCTACAGTGGTCAGATTTGCTGACATTTTCTTACTCTGCCAGGGAAGCAACAGGCTGGGTTTATGGGATGAGAGCATTTGAATTTGAGTGCGCTCGGTTTTAAATCCCAGTAACCACAGGCAAGCTGCTTCACCCTTCTGGTCTTACTCTCCTCATCTTCGGATGGGCCCATTCTCTCCAAGGGCAGATTTGAGGATTTAATGAGGTGAAAGTGTCTAGCACAGGAGGAGAGCTGAACAGTGGCCGCTTGCCTTGTGACCCCTTTCCACCGCCTTTCCTTGCTCGCTGAAACATACCCTGTGATCTTGCTGCTGCTTTCCCATTTTATTTTCACTGCCCCCCCTCCCCCTGCCAGGCTTTGAACCTGCCCCTTTGGAAGGTACTGGAGCTTACTCATTGCCACTTGACACACTCTTTCAGAAGAGTTAGACTGTGCTCCGCATGAATATTAAGTTTCTATTCAATAGATTCCCTGTCTTGCATTTGTGACATTCATTATCAGCCCTTTATTTTATATGGTTTGTGTGAAATACATTTATTTTTTGCCTAAGCTGCCCTGGCACAGGAAGATGTGCAGGCCGAGGAAAGTAGCTGTCACACACGCCGCAGGCTAGCGAGTTGCCCCGGTGGCTTCACGCAGCCCCGCCAGCTCTGAGGGGCCTGCAGAGGGGCCGGGAGACAGAGCGGCCCGCCGCCCCTTTGGTCTTTTTCCACCCCCATCTCCACTGGACCTGGAGACCAGTCTTGGCGTTAGAGTGCACGCTGCTCTTTGGGATGGGTGGCATTCTCTCTGTGGGGTTTCAGATGTCGTGGGCAGACGTGCAGGCAGTCTCTCCAGGGTCTGCTGTGCTCGGACGGCCATGCCTATCTCCAGAAGGCTCAGAGGAAAGGGCCCGCGGCCAAGATTGCGTTCTGAGGACGGCTGCGGAGCTGCTGCTGCTTGGGGCTGATTGAGATTACCGAGCGCCGGTGAACCCCCTCTGCTTGCTTAAGGCCGTCTGGGTCTTTTGCTTTATCAGATCCTTTTATGTCTTCTCTAGGCCTTCTGGTTTCTTTCCGTGGGTGCCTTTGGCAGTTAGTAAGTGTCAGTCATTAATGAATTATTCATGCTTGTTTCACACTTGCTGGGTTTGTAATAGCACTGTGCTAGCACTCTATACCTTTGGGCTAAGGTGCTGTTTGGAACCGAGGGGTGGGCGGGCAGCTTCCCGAAAGCGAAGCCTCTTTTCTCAGCGGCCAGCCGGGTTGAGCGTCACCTCTGTGGAGCTCGCTGCCGACGCGGAGCCTGCAGCGGTTGCGTTTGCGCTTCTCCCCACAGGCACGAGCAGCGGCGCCATGGCGTGCTGGGACATGCGCTTCCAGCTGCCCATCTCCAGTCACTGCCACCCGGCGCGGGCCCGCGTCCGGCGTCTGTCCATGCACCCGCTTTACCAGTCCTGGGTGATCGCAGGTAGGAGGCGGCGGGCTGGGCAGAGGGCCCTGCTGCCCAGATTCGTCATCTTAGGAGTTTCATTTTACCTGTGAGCCAATGCTGGTTTCTGTGGTCAGCTCTGATTCTGTGGAAGTTCCTGCCACGGACATCTCATGGTCGTTTCTCATTTATTGCATTTCACGGAGTCTCATCAGTCACACCACCACCGTCCATTCCTGTCCACCACCATTTCCTTCCCACTGTCTTCTTTCTCCTGTGTTCCCTGTTTTTTTGCTAAAGTTGCCATCATCTTCCTGAAAATCTGAGCTGGAAACCTTGGGTCATCCCTCTCAGCGGCCATTTCTGTTGCATTTCTTGCAAGCCTCCCTCCCCTTCTCTTATTGGGTGTTGAGATTTCCTTGTATAGATTCTTAGGCAAGACAGTTGGGCAACTCTTTGAAACTCATTTTTCTCAACTGTAAAATGTGGTTAAAAATATTTGTCTAGAGGAGTTGTAAGAATGTGAGATAACACATGTGATGCATGTGGTCTGCTACACAGTGAGTGCTTGATAAGCAATGGTGCTTACTGTTCTGTGTTTCCTCGTGGCCGCCTCCCTGCAGGCCCCCTGCCCCCTCCTCCCCACGCAGCCCCTCCAGGGCCCCTGCCCCCTCCTCCCCACGCGGCCCCTCCAGGCCCCCTGCCCCCTCCTCCCCACGCGGCCCCTCCAGGCCCCCTGCCCCCTCCTCCCCACGCGGCCCCTCCAGGCCCCCTGCCCCTTCCTCCCCACGCGGCCCCTCCAGGCCCTCTGCCCCCTCCTCTCCATGCGGCCCCTCCCTGCTCCCTCCCCGTCCACGTGTCCGTCTCTAGCCTGCCTGCTGTCACGGTCACTCACTGCCGCCTCCCATGGCCATCATGCACCGTGCATCTTACAGGACTTGTTGCTCGCTTGGTTGATCACTTCCTCTCTCTGAAACACTTTCCTTGTCTGATTTTGAGGTCATCACTCTCTTGGTTCTTTTACTGATTGATTTGCTGTTTGTTACTCCTCTTCCTACTTTTAATCTGTGGCCAGCCCACGGGCTCAGTCTTGATCCTTCTGCACTGGCTCCCTGTGTGAGCATATCCAGTCCCAGACAAAACAGTACCAAATTTATCCAGGTTTTTATATCTACCTATTTAAAATCTAACCTAAAAGCTGTGGTACACGCAATGGAATACTACTCAGCTGTAAAAAGGAACACATTTGTCAATTCTAATGAGGTGGATGAACCTGGAGCCTATTATACAGAGTGAAGTAAGTCAGAAAGACAAAGACCAATACTGTCTGCTAACGCATGTATATGGAATTTAGAAACACGGTACGATGATCCTTAGATGCATGGCAGCAGGGGAGACAGACGGAAAGGACAGACTTTGGACTCAGGAGAAGGCAGGGCTGGGATGTGGAGAGAATACCGTTGAAACATGTACATTACCCTATGTGAAACAGATGGCAGAGCAACAAAGCCAGTGCTCTGGGACAACCCAGAGCGATGGGGTGGGCAGGGAGGTGGGCGGGGTCCCGGATGGGGGACGCATGTATGCTGTTTGGCAGCGGCCCTCACAATATTGTGGAGTAATTATCCTCCAGTTAAAATAATTAAAAGTTAAGGACAGTTAAGGACAGAAGTGCTCTGTCACTCGCAAAGAGAAAAGTACTCCATAATACTGATCTTTGAAGATTTGCTTCAGCACCTCAGCCTCCCTGTGTGTTGAGAAGGGCATAGGTTTTTAAACACATGGAAACTGATGCAGAGGAAAGTGGTTAGTAAACTGCTTATCTGGATATCTGCTCATTTTGTTGGTCTCCTACTTTTCAAGTTCATCTTAGCTCATTATTTTTTGAAGGGTAACAACTTAGTCAACAAAGATTGTTCAACATTATCACCTAAGATTATATCACTCCTGTTAAATCTTAACATCATTTTTAATGATAAAAGTCTAATAATTAGAAAATAAAATCTTCCCTAAGATGTCTGATAGCCAGCTGAAACTTGACCTGCCGAAGCTGGACCCTTGGTTTCCTCGCCACCCGCACCCCACCCGCCGCCGCCTCCCCTGGGACAAGCTCACTCCGCCTGCAGTATTGTCCCAGGAAATGGCAGCCATTTCGGCTTGAAGCTCCCGAGGAACCCTGACATCGTCCTTAGTTTTTTTCTCTTTCTCATCCCACTTCCCACTTCCAGTTCAGCAGCCACTTCTACATGTCCTGTCTTAAAGTGTGTCCAAAGTGTGTGCAAAAGTGACCACCGTCTTCTGTCTCCACCACTGTCCCCTAGCCCAGATGACATTGTCTCTTGTTCCTATTAGTGAATCCCTTCTCTTAGGCAAGTTCTTTCTTCTGCTTGATACCTGCCACTGCCTCTCACGTAACAGCCAGGCTCACCGCCATGGCCCAGGGGTTCTGTGGGGTCTGTTTCTGCTTCCTCACCCACCCTCTTGGCCAGTCAGGGTTCCAGCGGGAAACAGATGGCATGCCCCAAGTAGGACCATTTGAGGAGCACTTACTGTCTGTCAGAGGGACTGTTTCCAAAGGTGTGGGTGTGAGCAGCATACAGCACGGTGCTGTAAAACCAGGTTCCGACCACAGGGCTTTCTGACCTTCCCCTTGAGCTCGGGCAGATTCTTGCTTGAGGGCCTCTGCGTTTTGCTGGGATTGTTGTCACCAGTAGGGTGTGAGTTCTGTGAAAAGAAATTTTCTTTCTTTCTTTTTTTTTTTTCTTTTTGCATTATTTGTCCTCCGTTCCTCAGGATCCAGGACAGGGACTGGCTCACAGTAAACAGAGTCAGTTCAGTAAACATTAATGAAGAACTGAAGGCTGGGGTATTGTCACTCCTCAAAACGCTGCTCAAAAGTACTTTCGAGAAGGCCCCCCTCAGGCATGCAGGGACCGTTCCCAGCGTCTCCCTTTGCCCTTGCTTGCGCTCGTCTCATCTCAGACGTGCCCCAGCCCGACCACGCCCCTCGGACACGGCTGGGTGTGCTTGGCTTTTTCCGTCCTGCCTGCCCCCGTGACCCGGTGCCCCCGTGTCTGTCCCAGGACAGCGCTCCCCGAAGCGGCCCCGCGCATCCGGCCACCCGCGGATGGGACCTTTCCTTCCCAAGTGCACCTGGGCTTTTGCCTTCTCTCTTCTGTGCTCACCGTCTTACGCTTTGTATTTTTTCTTTCCTGCTAGGCTGTAGGTTTCTTGAGGGCAGACTCTGTTTGTGCACTCTATACTCACTGGACGGCAGTAAAATGCTGCCCAATAGGTTGTCAGAACATTTCCTTTTCGCCCTTCAGCGTGGAGGCAGGGTGGCAGCGTGGCTTAGTGTCCGTGAGCGTGTCCCACAGGGTGGGGAGCAAACGGAAGCGTGCGCCGGCTCGCGTCCTCTGCCAGGACATGGACTCGCTGCGCGGAACCCTCGTCCGAGTAACGCTGGCCTGTCTCCCGCAGCTGTCCAGGGCAACAATGAGGTGTCCATGTGGGACATGGAGACGGGCGACCGAAGGCTCACGCTCTGGGCCAGCAGTGCGCCCCCGCTGTCCGAGCTACAGGTGAGGCCAGCATCCTCTCCCACACCCTCAGTTGCTCAGGCGGCTTTGCCAGCCGTGATCCTTGGTTAGTTTGGGGGTTGTCCTGTAAGCTTGGGTTTTAGTAAGTGCGGAATTGCTGCCCTCTGCTTTCCAGTTCCCCAAGGGTCTGCTTCTGTGGGTGTTTTGGCTGCCAGGCCCATAAGGTCTGTGATGTTTCTTTGGAAACCCAGTAGAATGTGGGTTAATTAGAGAAGGAAAGATTAAAGCTTAGGTCGTTCAAAAAACGGAACGTGACCCTGTCATACATAACTTTTTAAGGTGCTTTGTTGGGGCAGGGGGTAGGAAAGGTTTTTCTCTCCTTTAGTTGGGATCCTTCTCATTCCAAATGGAGAGTTTTAGGAAGCTGAGGAGGCTCTGCTTCTTCATTCAGGGTGATGCAGAACAAATGTATCTTAAATTCCCAAAGAAAGATCTAAGACAGATGTGATCTGTCTCTGGTCTCTCCAGTTAACTGCTGATAGCTGACTTATCTCTAGAAGTGACTGCATCCTCTATGGGCGACATGTGACTCTCCATTTCTTTCCTTCCTTCAGCCTTCTTCTCACAGTGTCCACGGACTCTACTGCAGTCCTGCAGATGGGAACCCCATCCTGCTGACAGCGGGCTCAGACCTGAGAGTAAGGTACAGTGCAGTCCCATCCTGCTGACAGCGGGCTCAGACCTGAGAGTAAGGTACACTGCCCATTCAGCACTTGAGAGGAGAATGGTAACTAACAGTGGTTACCACAAGCGGGTGTTTGTCATAGATACCAGCAGTGGTATGATGTTTGCAGTCATCCACATCTTGCAAGGACAGCTCATAACACTTCATTTGTAACTGATTTCAGGCTCTTCTAGAAAAACCTCTTTCCCGAACGCAGAAGCAGACACACCAGCATTGATGAGTGTCAGTCAGTGACCAGTCGCCCCTTCTCTCCTCCTCCCCAGGTTTTGGGACTTGGCCTACCCAGAGAGGTCGTACATCGTTGCAGGGAGCACGAGTTCTCCATCGGTGTCCTACTACAGGAAAATCATTGAAGGCACCGAAGTGGTCCAGGTATGAGCGATCTTTGTTTTCCTTTCAACTTTTGTAGGAACAAAAATGGCTGACATAAATATCATGTTTATTTATGCTGACATAAATACCATAAATGGCTTTGGCCAAGAGTGGCAGTATTTCTTTGAATTTAAAAAATATTTTATTTTCTCTTGACTTTTCTGTATTTTTAAAATTGAGTTTACTAAGGTAGAATAAACATAGGAAGTGCATGTATAAATACATGGGGCAAAGTAAGCACTTGCAACACTTGCTGGGTCCTACTTCAGGCCTTTATTATCTTCCTTCCGCAAATGAGAAAGTTAAGCACATCGAGGTTGGGTAGCTGGTCTCAGGTCCGCCAGCTAGTAAGCGGCAGTGCAGGGTCTCACACCTGGCCAGCGGGGCTTGGGAGCTGGGGTTCCTGGGTCGGGCAGAGGCCGCAGAGGAGCTGGCGTTCCTGTGAGTGTGGGGCGGGCGGTGCTCCGTCACGAGTGGCAGCGAGCTTCGGGAGGGCTGGAGCGTCAGGTCCATACGTGTGTCCACGCCCTGGTCGTCGCTGCCTCCCAGTTCTTTCCCTTTGTTCTTTGAAGCTGACGGAGGTCACATGCACAGGTTATCAGCCTGTCTGTAAGTTTCCATGTTTGTAAGTGGCTGCGTGGAGTCCAGTGACTGGACACCTAGACCGTCTCTTTGGCTCTGCTGTGACGCCCTTGCTCAGTGCCTCTGAAAGCCTCTGTGACTCCTGTGAACCAGGGCCAGCCTAAACAAAGGGCAGCACTCCTTAGAAGCAGGGGTGCGGACAGGCGGTAGGTTGTGCTCCCGCCTCTGACTGTGGCCTTCTCCTTGCTTTTAACCACCACACAGGAGATTCAGAACAAGCAGAAGGTGGGGCCGAGTGATGACGGCCCGCGGAGGGGCCCGGAGTCCCTGCCCGTGGGCCACCACGACATCATCACGGACGTCGCCACCTTCCAGACCACGCAGGGCTTCATCGTGACTGCCTCCAGGGATGGCATTGTTAAGGTGTGGAAGTGAAGCCTGGGAGATGTGTGTAGTTTGTAAAAACACATAAACACACTGTGACTCGAGAAAAAGTGTTTTTAGAGAACAGAGTGAGTGCAGATTCCTTTGCTTAGTTTTGGAATCATGTCTATTTCATGATTAAACAGGTCCCGTGCAAGGTTGTTAAGGAACTTGCTGGCGTCCCTGTGTGTATCTTAGCTGGAATTACTAGACATTAGTATCTGGCACTTTCTTATTGTATATATCACAGAGGTAAGGAATTTAAAATGACTTACGTGATCTCAATTTACTTTGTATTAAAAAAAGACAGTTGAAAGTTGGTTGTAAGCTATTATAATGTAAACACTTTTTTTTTTTTGCTATTAAAAATGCTATTCAAAACAGCCAGTAAACTGTATTCAAGCATTTTAATGGGTGTGTGTGTGTGTGTTTGTTGGTGTTTCTAACAGTAAATTTGGCAGAAGAGTAGCCTTCAGCAGCGTGTTGACCCGGTGTGACAGGCGCTCAGTAACACAGCCAGGCCTGTGTCCAGAGCTTTGGACTCTGAGTGGCATGCGTCCTGCTCTGGCCCACCCTTCCTTGTTTTAGAGCTGGCCTTCTTAGATGTCTAACGCTGGAGACTTGATCTCCTGTTGCCAGCTCCAGAGAAACGTGTATCTTCTTGGTCATCATGACTGTTTAATAGTTTCTCCTATAAATTCTGGAACTTGGCCCATCAACTTGCTTTTATCCAGTGTATATTATTTATTAAATGCACGAAGAGAGAAAAATAAAAAGATGAAGCTGTTAAAAACATGCCAAAATTTATATTTTCAAAAGACCAAAATTTGGTCCTCCCCGCTAAAATGAACCCTTCAGATTTATCGATTATTGTCTGCACAGGAACTTCTCCATCCACATTTCACTGTCCATCCACTTGCCAAAGGGTTTATGGTGTTCAAAAATATTTTGATCTGAAATTAGTTAACATGAGTCTGTAAAATCAAGAAGTTGAACAGATAATCTGAGTCCAGGGAAAATACTTGTTTAAGAAATATGCCAAAAAGTTAACTTTCTGTAATTACGTACCTGACTTAGTGCCGTACATGACAGTTGCAGGACACGGGATTCAACGCGCTTGGTGTTTAGACCAGTAAACGGCAAAGCGGTCAGGCAGCCCGGTCAGGCCAGGACTGGGCCGGGCGTCCGTGAGCGCCGAAACGTGCAGGTTTCCCGTGGGCGCCGTCACATTGCTGGCCCTCTCTTTCCCTTAAGCTCTGCCGAGACCACATAGGTAGAGTTTCTAGCTGCTGAGTCAGGTTTGGAGTCTGAAGAGGTGAGACATCAACTTAAAAGGGGGCCTCAAGCCGCCCGTTCCTCCCGGACTTCTTCCCGTTCACTCTCTCGCTTAAAGAGCACGCCGCTGCCCCCCCCCCCCCCCCACCGCTTCAAAAAAGGCCATTTGGCCGAATCATTTCTGAGTTACTGTCTGCTGCCGCAGTAAGTTTGCATCTCTTTTGGACTTCCATAGTTCTTTTTTTGTTTTTTAAACACATTTGACTCATACTGAGTGCAGAGATAATAGAAGAAATTGTCCTTTATACTTTATGGTCAGTTAATTTGATTTTCTATATCAAGAGCATCACTGCTTATTTTGTGTGATTCTTGATTTAAATACAGTTTTGTTTCTGGAAATAGAACTGCCATATGACCCAGCAATCCCACTCTTGGGCATACACACCGAAGAAACTAGATCTGAAAGAGACACGTGCACCCCAGTGTTCATCGCAGCACTGTTTATAATAGCCAGAACATGGAACCAACCTAGATGGCCATCAGCAGACGAATGGATAAGGAAGCTGTGGTACATATACACCATGGAATATTACTCAGCCATTGAAAAGAATTCATTTGAATCAGTTCTAATGAGATGGATGAATCTGGAGCCCATTATACAGAGTGAAGTAAGCCAGAAAGATAAAGACCAATACAGTATACTAATGCATATATATGGAATTTAAAAAGATGGTAACAATAACCCTATATGCAAAACAGAAAAAGAGACACAGATGTACAGAACAGACTTTTGGACTCTGTGGGAGAAGGCGAGGGTGGGATGTTCTGAGAGAATAGCACTGAAACAAGTATGCTATCAAGGGTGAAGCAGACCACCAGCCCAGGCTGGATGCATGAGACAAGTGCTCGGGGCTGGTGCACTGGGAAGACCCAGAGGGATCGGGCGGAGAGGGAAGTGGGAGGGGGGATCGGGATGGGGAATACATGTAAATCCATGGCTGATTCATGTCAATGTATGGCAAAAACCACTGCAATATTGTAAAGTAATTAGCCTCCAACTAATAAATGAAAAAAAAATAGGGTTTTGTTTAATTTACAATTTGTGGTACTTGCCCTTTTAAGAGAAAAATAAATCACGGAAACATGCTAATATTAGGGATTAACACTTTTTAAAGGAACTTAATATTTACATTATGCTTTCAGACCCCTCACTAACTAACGATTAAAAATATGCCGCAAAATGCTAAAATAATCTCAAATCACCAATGGGATACTTGTTTGGCATACTTACCAATACAGAGAGGATAGACAAATAATATTTCAATAGTATTTCCAACAATAACAATAAAAGGAATTTTTGCTTAATCCAAAGTTAACCAGGAAAATCCCTTTTATTCAAATACCTCTTAAATATCGCGCATCAATTTCCAGTACTTGAATTTTTCCTGAGCCCCTAAGCACCATTTAGGATACAGAAAGAAGGCCAATGTGCTTTATTCTTCTCTGTTACCTGAGTGTGGATGCAACGGTTTGACTCCTTGCTCTGGAGACGTTGGGAGCCAGTGCTATGGAGTTGCCGGGGGAAGGATGGCAGAAGTGATGTGGAGAAAGCACTGCAGATGGCTCTCGCCCAGGTTTTGTGAGCAGAGGCGAGGGAGGAGAGTCGGGATCCCCTCCAGACTTGGTGTCCGCAGCCGTGTGCCTCCCCCAGCCCTGCAGGGCCTCCCCGCCTCCCCGGAGCCCACGGCCGTCTCCGCGGCGGCCAGGCTCCCGCGGCCGTCTCCGCGGCCAGGCTCCCGCGGCCAGGCTCCCGCGGCCGTCTCCGCGGCCAGGCTCCCGCGGCTGTGGAGCAGGCTCTTAGAGCTTGACGCGACGTCTAAATCGAGGATTGCTCCTGCAGTGTTTATTTAGCTGGTTAAAAATGCGGCATGTGCTCTGGATGGGAGTGAGCAGAGCCACGAGAGGTGCACTCTGAAGGCCTTGCCTGGCCTGCTGTCACTCGCAGTGACCTCTTTGCATCCCACCCCCACCCCCCCATAAGACATCGTAGATGAGGACAAGGACACCTTCGTCTTTTCCAAGCTCAGTGAGCACTGAAGCCCTTTTCAGATCTCTGCCTGTTCTCTCTGGAGCTGCTCACTATTAACAAAAGAGCCAGCTGACAGGTTATGCAGAGCTTCCCCCCACGACGTGCTCTGTCTGTACTGTTCTTGCCTAAGCATACATAGGTTACTTAAAAGAATGATAACTGACAGTAATGGGAAAGAAGAAAAGTCCTATCAAAATGGGCTGGCACAAGGTCTACTTAATTGATGTTCTTAGCAAATATGAGTTTCCCAGCGAGTTTAAAGATGATTTGGAGCTGGGGAAGTTAACCTCTGTTTCTGTCCAAGCCAACAGCTACACAAGGTGGAGGAAAGCTTCCAGCACAAGCCCATCGGAGATCCAGTCAGTCCCAGCAGACAGAGGTGGGTTGAGATGGAATCGTTGTGGAAGGTCAGATTTTCAAAGTTAGGCATACAAATAGCATTGGTTTCTAGGGTTGATGCTGAGATCTCCCAAAACATTAACCTTTGGCTAAATAGATGAGAATTAATCAGTCCTAAGCTCAGAAGCAAGGCTCAGCCTGTAGAAGGTGGACTAGATGGAGACCCTCAATTTCAAAAGCATGAGCGCTGGCCCGTGTACACACATGTGTATGTGACATAACATTTACCTTCAAATCATATCTCTATGAGACTTTGCAAAACGGTCCTTTTGTTCTTCTGTCTTTTGATGATAACAGTTCTTGAACATACCAGTGTCTGAGTGCTGGAACTATCAGGAATGGTCAAATAAATGGACAAGATAATCTTACTACCAATGAGTGCATGGGGTCAGGTTGCACAGTGACCCACCACCTGTGACATGTTCAGACTGGACCTCGGATGCGGGGAGAAACGCAAGTCAAAGTTGCCCGACGTTGTGACTGTGAATGCAGTTATTTGAGCCCAGAGTCTTACCATGCTTCCTGAGGTTAAACTCTCTGAGCGCTTCCTTTATCATGTTGTTTGGGAGCAGCTTTTATCACCCTTTTTCCATTTTCAAAGACATGGAATATGTTTCTGGTAAAATTTTGAATAGTATCATCTCTGCTGCCTCCTGCTATTCTTGAAAAGTATTTTTTGTGTTGAAAGAACTTTGCCTTCTTCAATGCATCTTCTTTGAGGGTAGCTCTGTGTGGCCCAGGAACAAAGCTATACAGTGAAAGAAGAGAAACGACATAGAAGATAAATATTACCATGTCAGCTGGAACAGATTCTGTATTAACCTGTCTTCCTAAATAATCGTGTACCCATTCTTGTTTTAGCCTTCCTTCAGGGTAAGTGTATTAAGATGATTCGACTGGGGATTTACACTGCACAGGTATATCAGAAGTGGATGAATAAGACACCTTGTCAAAGTACGCAAAAGTCTAATTTTGTAACAGCAACGTTTCTTCTTCATGGAGCATGTTCTACCCAGAACTTCATATGATTGGCTTCTGTTTACTCAGATTTTGGTTCGAATGGTACCTCGTTAGAGACCACCATATGCATAGTTGTCCCCATCCCAGACACTCAGAACTATAGGCTATTACTTTTTTCCTAACACTTAACCACTATCTGAATTTTAACTTGTGAACTTTGTGATTTCCCCATCCTCCCACCATCCCAGACGGAAAGTTTCATGAAGCCATATCTGGTGACTGTGGTAACCCCAGGAAACCAAAGGAGTGCTTAGCACTTGTTAGCTGTCAGCATTGATCTAGTGAAAGCATATGGAGGACTTCCTCTTCCTTCCCCCTTCTTTCCTCTTCTTTCCCTCCCATCCATCCATCATCCATCCATCTGAAGGTTCACGCTCTAACGAAAGCACTGTGTTAGGTACAGTGGGGGATACAGACCTAACACCCAGTCTGGCCGGCACACAGGTGTTTGGTTGGGAGTCAAGAGTAATCCAACAAAAACGTGGAGCTAGGGTCAGACTCGGAGAGGCCCTGAATGCCAGCTTGGTGAGTCAGGGAAGTCAGAAGCCTTGTGCAGCTGAGCACAAGTCCGAGCCTGTCCTGTCGAGCTTTCTGTGCTGGTGGAAAGGTCCTGTGAGCCGCACTGGCCGGTACGGCAGCTGCTGCCCCACGTGCAACTGAGCACTTGAAATGTGCCTAGTGTGATGAGGAAGTGAATTTTTAGTTCCATTTAGTTGAAAGCTGGTGGCAATGGAAATGGACAGTGTGGAACGGGAGCTGTTTCAGACCTTATCTTACAGGGAGGCCGTGGAAAGAGCTGTGAGTCCTGAAACATTCTTGTATTCTAGGTCCTCTAGTTATTAGCTGAGCAGCCCACTTAACTAGAGGGATCCTTGTTTCTTCAGGTGTAAAGAGACTAAAAACCCACCAGTGCTGTGACTGACAAAGCCCCATGGTGTCAGCTGCTTAGAGGTGAGTGTGGGAATCAGGAGAGGCAGAGCTGAGGCTACAACCAGATTCTTGCGAGAGTTTAAGAGTCCTGTGTTACTTCCGTGAAACTAGGTTTTTACCCAGCAAACTACGGAGGACGCTCACGATATTTGGAATAAGAAAGTGAAATGATGAATGTCATGCTGTCAGAAGACCTGGGTGCAGGACCGCAGGAGGGCAGGTTGCTAGGGGCAGAAGTTAGGAAGCCATGAGCTCTCCACAAATACTTTTAAATAAATGAGAGGGGCCTGGTGGCATAAGAGAGGCTAGCTGCGTTTTGATTGTAGAAGGGTCATACATAAGAACTCCAAAATGTTGAGACCAAAATGTCCTCCAAAATGTGAGGACAGCAGCCGCCATTCACCACTTTCACCACAGTCCCTTCCTTTGCGTTTGGATTTCTCTGCTTTGTCCCGCTGTCAGTGGGACAAAAGCATCTCTCTCACAAAAGCATTGCGATTTAGAAAACGAGTAAGTAAAGGACGTAAAACGAGGCTGAAGTTATCTTGCTGTCCCCTTTGTCTCTCTCACACACTCACCACGCTTTCTTCTTCGTCTGTAGTGAGGGCGGGGGGTAAGGGAGACCTCAGACCAACAGACAGGTCCTGCGACACAGACCCCGAGGCGTCTGACCGTGTACACTGTCTGGGCTTCTATCCGTGCTCTCACGGATGCGCTGTGTCGACTGACAAGCTCCTTCAATCACCAAGAATAGCAGCCCTGGCGTAATTTCAGGGCAAACACCATTTCCTCACACCTTCCCCTGTTGCGCTTTTCTCTATATTTTCTTGTTTAAATGAAAAGTGAAAGTTGCTTAGTCACTCTTTGCAACCTTGTGGAATATACGGTCCATGGAATTCTCCAGGCCAGACACTGGAGTGGGTAGCCTTTCCCTTCTCCAGGGGATCTTCCCAACCCAGGGATCGAACCCAGGTCTCCCGCATTGCAGGCAGATTCTTTACCAACTGAGCAATGAGGGAAGCCCCATTTTCTGGTTAACTTCCAGACTAAATGTCACGGACTCAAATCCTCCAAAGTGGTAACTGTCTATATGCCCGAACCATGGCCCCGCCAGTCGTGAGGGGACATTGTCTCAGGTCTGGGACACACTGTTTCCACGGTTGAGTTTCCCTTGTCTATACTGCTTTCTCCCCTCCAGCCTCACTCTCTCCCCTCCAGCCTCACTCTCTCCCTTTGTATTTGATCCTTTTTCCAGCAAATTTAGCTGTCTTTGTCTTCCTCCTCCCTCTTTGTTAAGAAAAAGTTAAATTCCTTCTACAGCATTGTGATGCTACCCTTCTCCCTCAAATATTTTTATTCTTAAAAGGGTTGAACATAATAAACACTGTATCTCTGAATCTTCCATCTTTTCCACTGGATCATATATGGAGTTTGTAATTGGTTAAGTGCTCAGTAACAATCATTTCATTATTCCAGGAATCACAGAGACTTTCTGATTTTCTTTCTTTTCATTCTATGTTGTTCAGATACTTCTTTGCTGATGGGTAATTTCAACAGGATGTAGTCAACATAAAGAAACAGGAATGAAATACCATCCATTCATTTTGCAGTTGTGCCCAGCTCCAGTAAAACTTGGGAAAGAAAAATGGGTGGGACTAATTGCAGATTTCATTCCTCTGTGATCACAGATTCCTTCAACTATGCAGACAACCAGGAATCAGTCAAGCTGCATTTATTAGTACTGGATGCAGTGGAGTGGAAAATGAATGCAAGATGGCTTTTAGTTCAAGAATTCTTTTCGTCTTACACATTTTGTGCATCTAAAGAAAACACTTTGGAAATTAGAATTACAACAGATGTGTAGTCACATGGCACTGGTAACCTGGTCCATTTTAACAGTTCAATTGTTGTGGTTCTGGCCTGCCTGCTGTCGCTTTCAAGTCTGGCAGGAGTGCTTGCCTGCCTAGATGAATAGGCAGGTGGCTTCTGGTATTCTCTCTTGAGTGGATGTAGGTGCTTATGTAGAGGCTGCCCTTGCAGTCTCTCCCTCATGGGCATCCATTTCCTTGGTTGCTTGTGGTTTGGTTCAAAGTCTTTTTGTTTTTTTTTCCATTGGAGAAGAACCAGCTTCGATCTGTATTTCTCAGAATCTGACAGTGGAATGACCTACTTTCTCATGCAAGTCATCCTGAGGACGAAGACGTCAGCCTGGTGGCCAGGCCCCTTGCTGCCAGGCATTCTCATCTCCCTCATTCCCACATGCCCAGCTCTTGAAAGGCTCAGGCAGGGAGTTTCAGAAGCAGCCGTGTGGCTTGTTACTTTTTATTACGGTCTTTGATGACTTAGGAAACTCCCGGGGAGCCTTGGTCGAACACGCTGTCAGGGAATCACCGACAGCAGTGTGGATCTGTCTCCTCCATACGCCCAGCATTTCCTGGCATCTCACCCTTCCAGGCATGCAGGAGAATCCGAGCAGGGGGCCACAGAGGACGAGATGGCTGGATGGCATCACCAACTCCATGGACATGAATTTGAGGGAACTCCGGGAGTTGGTGATGGACAGGGAGGCCTGGCGTGCTGCAGTCCATGGGGTTGCAGAGAGTCGGACACAAATGAGTGGCTGAACTGAACTGAGTATATCTTAGGGCAAAGTGCAGACGCAGGAGGAAATGCAGGGTGGGAAGCTTTTCCAAAAATGTCTTTAATTTTGATAGGCTGGCTCCCGCGTGGGCCTTGCAGTTACCTGTAATATATCAAGCCTGATGCTCATGCTAATTCGAGGGCGCTGTCCACGCTGCCAGACGCCTGCAGCAGGGGGAGCCCTGCCTCTCCTGGACTGACCGCGCCGGCCTGTTGAGCCTGACTTCAGAAGCGTTTGCCGCTGGACAGTTCCCCTGCCTCCCAGCAAGGTGAGGAGCCTCCAGGCAGAGGCTTCTTGCAGCTTCTGGAGCCGAATCAGGGGGGCTCTCTGGCCCATCACCGCACGGGGACGCACCCTCCTCACAGCGAGAGAAGCCACACTCAGAGGCGTCTGTCTCAGCCTCGACTGGGGCACTGACTTCAGCTGTACGTGGGGAACGTGTGTTAGTACGCTGTGATTTACACTGACACACACACACAAAAACACTCTCCTAACTGCTTGATTTCAATTGTTTCTAATTTTAAAAATAAGTAATATTTGTACATGCAAAGGATATGATCTATATGTATATTATTGTTTTAAAATAACCAACTTTTGCCTTTGTTGATGGCAATTTTTTTAATTAAGATATTTTTAAAAAGTAAGTTCTACTCTCATTCCATTCTTTGAGTATTTCTGTTTTTGTCCTATAACACTTTAAAATTTTTTAAATTATTTTTAAATTACATTTTTACATCTTTAAAAAAATTGAAGTACAGTTAATTTACAATGTTGTGTTAGTTTCAGTTTTTTTATTGAAGTATTTTTTTACTTAAGTATTTTAAAAGTTTTTAATTGAAATATAGTTGATTTACAATGTTGTGTTAATTTCTGGCATAGAGCAAAGTGATTTAGTTACACACACACACACATATATATACATTCTTTTTTTAAATATTCCTTTCCATTGGATTCCCTTCCATCCAATATCATAGGGTATTGAATATAGTTATTTGTGTTATACAGTGGGGCCTTGTTATTTAATTTTTTTAGTATATATTTTCTATTACATCTTAAGAACAATGTCTACCTCATCAGCTTTTAAAGTTTAAAAGATTCCGTGACATACCGTGGAAAAGTGTATGGAGGTTCCTCAGAAAATTAAAAATAGAACCACC